TAAACTGTGAATGGCAAAGCAGTGGTACAAAGTGGATACAAAGTATCTGGACGTGCTGGCAAAAAATTAGATTTAATGACGATTGCAGTAATATCACAGTGACAAAGCTCAAAGTTGTCGAGATGAGCAATACTTTCTATCTAAATTTTGTTTATTCTTTTCAACTCTATATTTCGTTGCATCAATTTTTTTTTAATTCACTCCTACGAGTATGTTTGCATCAGTAGTTTGTGTGGGCACATAGATGCACGACAATTGAGATTGTCGTCTATTTATGCGGAGTCTGTAATTGAAAGTAATTTGCGTAATAATGTTTGCTCTTCAATACTCAATATTGCATACTATGGTAAAAATGTGTTTATGTCTTAGTTTTCTATACTTATGGTAAATGAGGAAAATAACTACAAATGTTTCTGTTATATCGATATTCTGTCTGTAAGCTGTTCTCAAAATTTTATACAAAACTAGCTGTCGCCCGTGACTCCGTCCGCGCGGGATTAAAAATAGATGGTGGCCGATTCTCAGACCTACTCAATATGCTCACAAAATTTCATGAGAATCGGTCAAGCCGTTTCGGAGGAGTATGGGAACGAAAATTGTGACACGAGAATTTTATATATAAGATTAGTAAGTGGATCACATGCTTGTGCCTGACGAAACGTTCTCCTTGGTTACGAAAACGCTTGGTATGGCAACTCTTTACTATTGCTTCGTCTTAGGGCTCTCGTTAGTTAGAAGGTTAGTATATTAAAAAATTGATTTCGTTATTTTATCTGCTAGATAATAACTTCACATAAGTCGACGCCTGCTTTATGTTGTAGACGTTAGATATTTAAGACAATAAGTATGCAAATAGCAATAACAGTGACTGGCCATTCAAAGCACGGGGGCTATTTGCGAGCGAGTTAGCTTGGGGTCCCGAGCGTGCCCTACTGGAACGAATGAGTTACAAAAGCATATGTTTTGAGCGCTGGCGCACACCTTATCATTTACCACATTACGTGCGCAATGATTATAGTAATCTGCTTACGATGGAACAATGGCGCTGCACTCGTCAGCCGCCACATGCGTCCTGCTACAGGATGATTCTAAAACTGAATAGAACATATGCCTCACATAACACTAACTCACACATATAGATAAAAGAAGGAAAAATAAGCAAGATCTACTCTCTTTCTTTAAAGTAATTAAATACCAATTATAGATATCCCATCTATAAAGCGTTGTCGTTTAGTTTTTCCTACAGAATAATTGCATGCTAAAATCGATATCAAAAGACCGCGTTAAGATCTGTAAGTTACCTATTGTAAATTGGATATACAAACTGGTCATGGGTAGAATGTTTTCATGTAACTAAAAAATATAGTTTTGCGAAGAGCTAAGAATTTATATTTATTGGTACAGAAGTATTCGTGATGTATTAGGTTCTCTAAAGTTAGTTTTAAGCTATCCTTAAAAACTTACATAAAAACAATTGTAGATAGAAAACAAAAATTGTACTTATAAGTTGACTTTACAGTGACATTTGATAAAAGAAACACCATGTATTTATTGTACAAATTTAATAGAAAATATGACCCTTTCACTGTTCGACATAATTAAGGAGTGCGTAACAGGACAAAGAATGGATCGGCTACATGTTGTTAACTGTTTTGTGCTGGAATCGGTTGACAAAGGCGGCGCGCGGTGACCCTTTCTTAGGCAATTTGTGGACCAGCGGGCTCCGGAAGTAGGACTCGCGCCCTGGAATTAGAACTCCTTGCGCACTCCGGGAACATATTGTCGAGTAAAGGACTCCGCCCCGCAAAGAATTCTATGAGAGCACGTGACATGTATTCTTAAAAGTACACTTTTACGCACTTAAAGAATGGGTTTCTGAACGACTCAGATATACAAGAAATGTCAGTTAAAAACCAGTATTATTTTAGACTTTTTTGGATATAATATTTCAATATTAGTAGAGTATAGTTTAAATGATCTAGGAATAATATAAACTAGTAATTAACAAAAAAATCGTTCCACAAATAATTCGTTTGATTAAGGTTTTTTTTTAACTCAAATAATGCCCTCCTGGGGCATTATTGAATTATGCATTTACTTTGTATAATTAGTAACTATTACGGTAATGTTATAAAGTAAAATAGCTATGATTCATGTGGCTATATGAATTAGATAATTGTATGGGCTTTAACTGTTTCGTCTCCGACATAGAGTCGCCATCGATCGACGCTTAGACGAAATTATCTCAGAATGTTCCGAGTGACCTTGATTCGTGAACTTGCAACCGTTCATTACCGAATTACCAGCCCCCCTTCGTCTATACTTAGCGCGCCCGCCCGCCCGAGACAATCATTTAAATAATAAACATCTCATCCAAATAACACCCAAACATTGTCTTAAGCACTACACAGATCTGCGTAATTACATTTATTAAATCAAATCGCTAATAAAATTAGCCAACGACTAATCTCGACTTAATTTTGCAACAATCATGTCCGAATCGGACGCACCGATTATGATTGCAATTTGCCAAATCATAAGGATGTTCCTTTTGTAGATATTTTAATGTCGGTCCTATAGCTGACAATATAAATTAAATAGAAAATTATCTTTCCGAGTTCGAATTTGACCAGTGTCGGAGCATAAATTTTCCGTAGAAAAATTTGATTTGTACAAAAAGATTTTTACTTAAAAAAAATTAAAATCAAGTTGTTTCTTTTTTCATAGATAGACTTAACCAACATCGCTAACTATCGACAGTGAGTATATACGAAGATTTTTAGTATACACTTAAAATATTTTAAGGTAAATCTTATCAAAATGCACCTGCATATAATAGCATCGGTTTGCAAACCTGTATGCATTCATGTAATTATTGATCCGCAATATTACTAAATTATCAACGCCTCCCGCTTTGTCCTGTACCTAAATGACATGCTTACTGCTTATATACAGTTAATTATTGTTATGTACATATGTATATCTAAGTATGTTACTATTAACATACGTGTGCAATATGGTTGCGCTAACTTTAGGCCCTTTGTACACGAGGCACCGTGAATCTTCGAAACATAACGATTTTAGTCGTTAAGCCTTTTATGCAATATAATGTTGTAAAGCTTCGTACAAACGCACGCGTCGACGACATCTTGTTCTTTAGTCTTCAAAACCAGTCACTCGCAACCTGTTTATCAAGATCGTCTGGAGAAAAGTCGCAATGATTTTCAACATAGCGGAGCAAATCTATACAGTTGACCTGTAGTCGTTATGTCTTTACCGACCGAAAAGTAAATCGTGCGACGATTCAATGTGTACGGAGCTCAGGCAATGCAATACCCGCGAAGTAAATACTTTGAGTTGGAAGAGGATGCATTATGTAGTAATTGTCCCTAATCGTTTGCATGTTTTGTATTTGGCGCAAAGAGAACTGGTAACTCCGATAAAAAATAATACGCAAAAGTGCCATAATGTAGAATATCTTGTACAAGGAGTTAAAATAACACACAGTATATGCTGGTGTTATTTTAGATTTCACGTGTAAACGCGGGGCGAGGCTTCGCGGCACGAGGCCCGCGGCGGTGGGCGTGCGCGTCGGCCAATGGCGGCCCCGGGACTCCCCATCAGTGTTGCCCTTTAACGGCCACTTGCATTAATTGGAGTGTTTTACATAATTACAACATTATCATAAGGAATACTTTTCCAATGTATTCATTATGTAGTCGTGGATTTGAACGTATATTTTTAAAAACCCTTGCTTAAAAGCCTCACAGACGACCAAACCGGTTTGATCCTCGAGTAAAGTTTTCGTCAATAAATTCATTCGAAATTCTCCAAAATTCCACAGAGTTTGTTGATAGCAGAATTCTTCATTTTATATAATCTACATCTGCCGTAGGCATTCTTGAGAAAAATAGATAGGCAATATGTTAATGAATAGTTAGTCAGAACGCAGACTAACCGATCTTGTCTAAATATAATAAATAAAATAACATTTAGAGGTTTCAAGTAAGAATGTATATTCTCATAACTAAAAAGAATCAAAAAATATAATACAGTTTATCTGCTTTTCCTCTGGTATTGCTGATGTACATGGGCGTCGTTGAACACCTCGGTGTTCCCGCTGTTTGTTTGCCCCCTTCTGTTATTAAAAAAAAAATGTGAAGCCCCGTTAAGTTGGGCTTCTAAAAATTATGAATACTAAAATGAATAAAAGCAAAGTTTTTAAGATATGATATCTATATTGAGTCAAATCAATTAACATGGCCTCTACAATGCAGTTATTACGAGTTATTAGTGTAAAGTAAGATGTATACGATTATGACTTTTGTAATATTGTTGTTTGTGGAAAGATAAGATCTTCTTGTCTTTTGTCCTTTTTGGTAAATAAGATCTTCATATCTTTTAGTAACATGAATAATTATTTTTTACAGAAATTTGTTTTTTTAACATGCGGTTGGTAATAATTTGGCTTATATTTATGATTGCTTTTTTTGTATTTGATTAATGGTCTAAAAGTTAAAAAAAATATCTATTTTAAAGGGCTTCTTTATTCAAGTCCATATTGATGCATTTTTTTATGTATTCAATCATTTATATTATAAGTCCTCGTCATATTGCGGAGAATTATTGAACTATTTTTTTTCGCAAATTGGAGTTTAGAGTGTAAAGTAATAAAGTAGTCGATTGAAGAGCTACCCAAGCCACTTTTTATTTTTGGTAAGGTCTTAAAACATAAAAATTAACGCCTTATTGTAATACCAGGAGGTAGAACTCCTTTTTATTAGTTACTTAAAAACACGTTTTAGATCAAATATGTAATTAAACCATACACGGAGCTTTAAAAATAATTATATAAATACATATCTTATACTATGACTGATTGTTAAGTTGGTTATGATAAATTAAAGTATTTTAAAAATTTTAAACCCTTGATCGATATCTCTTTCCGAACGGACTTTAAGTTAGTGACAGATGACAGCTGCCACGAGATTTTGCAATCGAGTTTGACGTTGACAACTACTTTTGCTTTTTGATCCATAATTATGTTTATTCAATGTTAATATTTAATTTATCTGCAGTAAAAACAATTTTCAGTCTGCCAATAGATGCAAATTAGTTAAAAGGATACGTATACTAAAAGTGTTACTAACAAGCGTTGTAAAGATCTAATTATTTGTGGCCCAGTAGTAAAACCACAAAAAGTAAGTGACCATGGCAGTTTTAGTAAAATGTATTAAATTACTGTCTATTGTAATCGATAAAATTGACCATATTGTAAATCATTTTCAGATGCAGTTAACTTCAGATCCCAGACGTGCTGATCGTGAACGCCGTTTTAAGCCTCCACCACCCAATTCAGCTCCGGCAGAAGACCTGACTACCGATTATATGAATATTCTTGGTATGCGCTATTAATATAAAAAAAATAATCTCATTAATTGCCAACACTACGGGAGAGAGGTACAAGGCTTCCAAAGCGATAGCCTAGGATCCTGCAATGAGCTTCTGTCCGGAAACAAAAACTTTCCCCATGCCTTTAATACTGTTACTTATTCCCTTTAATCAACCATTAAAGATAATAAAAATTCAACAATATGAAGAATGCCAAATAATCAAACATTCTCTTTTTTTCAGGAATGGTTTTTTCAATGTGTGGCTTGATGATGAGACTCAAATGGTGCGCCTGGACAGCTGTCTTCTGTTCTAGTATCAGTTTTGCTAATTCAAGGGTTTCTGATGATACAAAGCAGGTATTGTTATTTTATTTTATTAATAAAACAAGCATTTTCTATATTACATTTTATTTTGTATATGTTTAAATATGTAAATGTTATAAATAACACCATTGCCAATGAAGCTTTGGCACATTTAATTTTATTCAAGACTAGATATACACTGACTTATATACTAATTTATTATTACACAGCAATAAGTTACCTTGTAAAAAAAACTATCTGAAACAAATTTCAACTAGTCCTCCGTAGACTATCATAAGCCACAATTTTACAATTCTGTTTTATATTTTTTTACATAATTTAATTAAAATTCTTGTTACTGTGTAAATTTTAAAGTAATGTATAGAATTATTGTAGATTTTGTTTGTCTTTTGTAAATTCATGTTTGATTTCAAATATACAATACAATAGTTTTCGTAGGATCCATTGATTTATAGTACACAAGTATCGGAAATTAAAATATAAGTGTATATAACATTTTAGAAATACAACAATAAAATAAGTTTATACAAAGTTATAATACTATCTGATTAGTAATGGCATGAAGTCTCACAGGCAGTTCTTTTATAGTTTTAAAAGTTTTTACGAAGAATTGTTATGTCACTTAAATTATCATCCTATTTATTTAATTAACTCATTTCACTGTAAATTTGCCATAACATACATTAACTTTTCTTTTTTTTTTTTTCAGATTGTTAGTTCATTCATGCTTTCAATATCTGCAGTGGTGATGTCATACTTACAAAATCCTGCACCAATGTCTCCGCCTTGGACTGCATTAACCACATAGTTTTCATTATTTTATTTACACATTACCAATGTTAAAATGTTAGCAATAAATATATTAACACTATTTTTAAAATCTTTTAATTGAACTGTTTCAGCTCAGAAATTGTAATTTATAAATGGATTTGGGGTCAGCACTTTATCTTAGCATTGAATCTCCCCACCTATAGTACTGCAAACCACAATATGAGGAAGATTAATAATTCATCAAAATTGATATCTTAAATGCATTGTGCAATTGTTTTAATATATTTAGTACCGTTATTTGGTATCATTTTTTGATATTTTTGAATTGCAGAGTTATCTTTCATCGTACCAGTTTGATTGAGCCGCAACGAAATCATTTAAATAATTAATTTTTCCTTTAGATATCTTACTCAGGTTTATAATTAAAACTGTGATGCTGATACACAGGTTTGTGATGAGTATACATATGTACACGAAGACATGATGGATTTTTCATGCGTTTATGACATTTACGGCACTTTAAAGTTTTCTCTGCTTTATCATGCTTGTCTTGTATGTGAACCTTCAGGTTGTAGCTATTGGCGAATAACCGATGACAATGTACGCAATTGAACTTTGTTACCGTATCAGTTTTGCTACTCGATCCGGAATTTTGAGTAGTCTCTGGCTCCTTACTACAAACGCCTCCAACCGTAGTCTCCGGCTTCTTACTACAAACTCCTCCAACCGAAGTCTCGGGCTTCTTCCTACAAACGCTTCCAACCGTAGTCTCCGACTTCTTACTGCAAACGCCCCCAACCAAAGTCTCTGGTTTGTTACTACAAGCAGTTTCAACCGTATGCGCAATATCTTTGCTCTCTTTACTGCCTTCATTAGATACACCGTCGCTATCTCGGCGGGCTTTTTTCACGTCGTTACAATTATTATTATTTGAGGTACTGTGAATAGAACGCTTTTTTGAGTTTGACTTGGAATCCTTTTTTATAGATTCACTCACGGAATCTTTAGGAGGGTCGGTGGTTTTTGTCGTGTCCTTTGTTTTAGAATCACTTTCAGACTGGCAGTCGAGGGGCAGGTTTGGTTCCTTCGTTGCTTCTTGGTCATTGGATTCATCAGGCGCTGTTTCATTTTTTTCTCTGACCGAAGCTAGCCCTTTGATCTGAAGAAATTCTGCCGTTTCAAGAAAGGGATTAAGTTCCTGTTGCGTGACATGGACCTCCCCATGATAGATGTATTGTAGCAGTTTACACAGTTCTACATGTTCTACTTCTTTTAGAACTACAATTGGATGTTCACAAGGATTCTTTATAAAAAGATCTTTGAAAAACGGACTACAGATTGACAAAATAAGCTTGTGTGCATGAAAGTCTTTTCCACCCGCCGACAGCGTCACATCTACTAACTCTTCCGCTTTAAGAAAAGATTCAAGAGAATGATATAGGTTTGTATGGAAATCAATCCAACGCAAAGAATATTTCTTTGTCATCGTGGGAAAATAATTATATTTAAATTAGAGTGTTGAATTTATTTCTACTGATATACCTAATTATGAAAAGGTTTTTAATTTGCGGCAAATTCCATAAATTATAACTGCTTTACGTTGTCTTGTGATTTTTTTTTCGTTAAATATAGGTACCTACTAGATGGGATTAAGGGCATTATTTATAGCATTTTCGTTTTTAAAGTACTATAGAACGGATATTAAATCAATAAAACTTTGAGATATGCTAATAGGCGCGTTTTATCGCGCGATTGAAAAATTAAAAACACGTATTTTATAACTACCACTTAATATTTCGACAATTGCCGTCGTAAGAAGAGATGAAATTATACCATTGTACTAATAACTCTTAAAAATCAATAAATGCGAATGGGGTGGGGGGTAGGTAAAAAGATGGATGATCTCACGGTTGTTTCGCATCGGGACCATAGACGAATTTATAGTAAGTACTACTTGAAGGCCTAGCCTTGTGACCTATACTTAGACTGGACTATGGGTCGGAAAATACCCTATTTTTTGGATGTGTAATATCACGACTGCTCTAAATTAGCTTAAGTAAGATATAGCATATTTTTATGATACACATTTAAAATGTAAAGTTGTTGTAAACTACCTTTTGAATCTTTTTGTGTCATATCTTTCATACCAAAAGATATACTCATTATTTCCTTGTTTTAAGACAAATATCTTATTCGAGTTTACTAAGGATTACAGAAATAAAGTGAAAAAGTACGGAAGATGGGATATATGTTGATGACGAAAAAAAACTAATATAAGGTGGCAACACTGAGTACCAAATATTTTGCGGCATTTGACATGACATGAATCCAACATTCTCATGCCACAATATGTTTAAAGTTTTTAATTAATTTTAAGTTTGTCGATATTGGTGTTTAAGATTTAATTATAAGATTGACTTTTAAAGTTTCTATCGAGCTACGTTATTGTTTGCTACTTCACAAGGTAATTGTATACTTTTATAGGTTACGTTGAGTATATTATTAAATCCTATTTTAAAATAACATAATCCACGTGTTTAAAGATTTACATTAAGTATTAATACACTATACCAAAATGTTTAAAAACATCCCAAACGGTACAATTAATTATTATCTTTTGAAAATATATATTAGTTTAGGCAGGTTCCTAAATTGATTTGTTCATATCAGTAGATATTGTAGCTAGAATTGTTACTCAAAAATCATTTTTTCGCAGAATGGCACCTAAAAAGGTAGAAGAACCGGAAAAGAAGCCACTCATTGGCCGAGTGGGCACCAATTTAAAAGTTGGTATAGTTGGTGTACCAAATGTTGGAAAGTCTACATTCTTCAATGTACTCACAAAAAGTCAAGCAGCCGCAGAAAACTTTCCTTTCTGCACAATTGATCCTAATGAAAATAAGTATAAATTTCTATTTTTTTATTTTATGTAGGTATCTTTTTTAGACATTATTAGTTAGAATCCTTTGACGCGAATAGCGCGCTTTCTTTGCCAAGTCAAGTGTCAGATTTATTTGTGAGGGGACATAAACATTGATATTTTAATAAAGCTAGTATTGCATTGATACACCGGCACTATGTTGGATTTTCTTCCTGACAGTATTTATTTTGCTTAATTTTTTTTATAGACTAAAATAATTTCATAATTAATGTATAGCCTGCACATTAAAATACACCTCACCATACAGTTAAAAGCTATGGAACTAATTTCTTAAAATGGCAATACCAGGTTTGATTTTTAAGACATTTTTACACATATTGATGTAGATGTAGAATATTGCAATATCAATGGAGATTGAGGAGTCTTATATAAAGTTTTTGTGGGCAGGATTTAATGTACTATATTAAACCTATTTGCACATATTTTTTAAACAGTTGTCATTTTGATTGACAGCTGCTATTGTAATAGATTTTAAATAATTCATTGGATTTTATTATGGATACAATGAAAACTGATAATTATAATCCAAAGTTGAAAGTAGTTGACAAAAATGATATCACAAATGTTAATCCTGACAAGAATGTTATTTATTCAGGCAATTTTAATTTCATAAAGAGTACCATTAAAAAACCTGATAATGACCTGCGGCCACTTGCTGCTGCTATATTAGGTCTAAATAACACTGCCGCTCCTCTACCACAAAATCTAGAATTCTATCATACTTGGACTGATATTGATTCTCAAGAAGCATTTTTAAACACAAAACCAACATGTTATATTATTCTCGGAAAACCAGGAACTGGAGGTTACTCACTTGGAGAAAGTATGGCGAAAAAACTAAATGTTGTACACATAAGTCCCAAAACTGTGATAGTTGATGAAATGGAACAAAAAAGTATAACTGGAAAGTGTATTGATTTTAATCTACGCCATAACAATATTTGTAAATATGACACTATTATGGCTATAATGAAAAAGAAAATACAATCACCAGCAGTACAACACCGAGGTTATGTCATCTCTGGTATCCCATTAGTGACTTCAAAGAAAAACATAGAATATTTTACTAAGAACTTATATGAAGAAGAATCTGTTTTGATTGCAGAAGAAATAGTAGATGGTATTACTGAAAATGTCTTTAAAAAGAGAAGGAAAGGTAGAAAACATGATACTGAAGCTTTAAATTCTTCGCAGAGTAGTGCAAATATGTTGGAAATTGAGAGTGAGATTGAAGAAGAGGAAGACGAACAAGAACCAGATGCAGATATCGAGGAAGAAACGGTACAAATAGTAGCATTGCCAAAGTTTATATTAGAACCTTCTTCGGGGGTCATAATATCCAAGAAATCTTCATTAAGTTCTAAACAATCAGTAATGCTTCAACAGTGCCAAGAACTGTTTGACTTACAAACTAATCCTGTAATAATTATTTTTATTACATGCCCAGACCCAGATGCTATTACGAAAAAGAATCGAAAATATTTTAATTATTTAACTTCTTCAAGTCCCATGTATCCTTTCACTTCAAGAAATGAATCTGACATTAGATGGCCTACTAAATATGCTGTCAATGAAAATGTATTAAATCCTATAGATACTAGTGTTTTAAATCGGAAATATTACTGTCGTTTACCAATTAATTTTACTTCAAATGCAACAAATCAAATGTGTAACTATCAATTCCATGTGTCACCTTATTTGGACAAGAAAATAAAAGACTTTCCATCCAAATTTGTTATTAAACTGGATGGCCGTAATCCAATTTATGAAATGGCAAACTTTTTATTTGATAAACTCTTACTTTTGCCTGTGAAGCCAGTTTTAATACCAGAACCTTTGTATCTTGAGGAACCTTCGGATGATATAGAAAGTTTTTGGAAGTTAGCAGAAGAAATGAATGTCATCAAATTCGGTGCAAAAAGATTCAGTCGGTATGCATCACCATGGTATAACAGATGTCCTGTGGAACTAAAAAAAAGACATGCAGTGCAAGGTCTTTCAAGATTTGCTGTTGCTTTTTTCAACCGTATCTATCTCCTATCGTCATTGGATAATATGGTGGCGTTTTGTAGAAATCCGCGTTCCTTTTTAAAGCTGCAATATCTAGAACCAACTTGTAGAGTAATAGTGACAGGAACAAAATTATCAGGCAAAAGTATGGTTGCCGAATGCCTATCATGGCTGTTCAATGCTCCAATTACATGTTATGCGTCATTTGTTAATGACCTTAGGCAAAGAAAATTTGATGATTTCACAAATTCGATATGGTCTATAATAGAAGAAAAAGTAGAACGACACAGATTAACAGACTGGGAAAACAAAGAGGAGAATAAAATGACAAATTTAAATTCATGGTATACCTCATGCGTTGAGAAATTAAAGAATTATATACGTTTGCAAAAAGAATATCTGAGTATCAAAGACGAAGTACTAGACGACAACGCTTCCGCGAAACGGAAAGGTCTTTTCAATAGAGTTCAAAAACTATATGGTGATCTTCAGTTCTTTCCCTTCTTGGATGAGGTAGAAATATGTGAACAGGTTCTTGACGATCATAGTTTGCTTCAGTACGCACCGCCTGAGTTAACTGAGGTGATACCAAAACCAGCAGCGCCCGTTCTCGGCGATGACGATGTAATGGAAGCCATATATGCTTATATTTCAGAAAACAACCGACAAAATGATGTAGAACCGAACTGTTCGGAAATAATGCAAGAGCTTACAACAAAATTAGCAAACCTTGATATTCAAACACAAACTGAATCCAATGGTGAGCATGAATACGGCAAATACATAATCGATGGATTTCCGTCAGATGCGGAATACTGGGATTTTCTGTTAGGCACGTCTTTGGCCCCTGATTATACAGTAGCAATAATTGAGGATAGAGAAATGGATGAAGACGTCGAAAGGAAATATATTAATTTGACAATAAGTACAAAAAATCATGAAACACGATTTCGTTTAGCTAACGATCCACTTGTTAAAATTAAATTAGAATCTAAATATACTTCGACACCTGAACCTGTTACACTAGAATGTTTTATAAATGATATTATTAACAGGATTATTCTATCGATCTTTACTAACAAAAGTGAAATAATTAACACCCTAAACGAATCTATAAATAAATTTCGTGATGATTGGGAGGGTTTAAAAAGTAGTATAACAAATACGGACAAGGCGTGTATTGAAGTACAAATTGACGATAAATCCGATATCGAAATTTTGGACGAAGTATTGGTAAAAATACGCAACAGCTATTACCCAGAAGGAAACACGGAAGTAGATGAAACATTTGAAAACCAGGGCAGTGAAGAAAGTACATCTAAAGATTCGCTTATTCAAAACGACCCTCGTTTCTTGTGTGAAACCAATATCTATTGCCCTGTTACTTATTACGATTATGGTGTTTTATGGGAGGGTAGACCAGAATTTACATTTGAATATGACAATAAGTTGCATTATTTTTGCAAAGAAGATTTTTTAAATAGATTTCAAGGTGACGTAACAAAATACCAATCGTACAACGATCCATTCAAAAAGTTGTCACCAATGAGAATATGCGTAATGGGTCCAATTGGTAGTGGGAGGACATCGGCTGCGAAATTAATTGCTAAAGAGTATGGCTTAATGTACATTGATTTTGTTGAATTCATAAATAATTATTTAATTCCTCGCCATTATAAAAGAGTCGGTCGCCAGTACGAAAATAGTTTTACCGATACTCCAATTGATGAAGAAGTGATGACGGAATTAAATATGAACGAAGATAATGTAAACTTAGAAGTGGAGATATTATCAAATGAAATCGAATTAAGACGTATGGTTTACAACTACTTGGAAAAGGGTACGGCAATAGTACCAATACTGATGCAAAAGTTAATAAAGAAGCTATGGTTCCAACCGCCATTTTCAACAACTGGTTTCGTGTTAGATGGTTACCCAAAACTGCAAAACGATGTAGAAGATATGACAGAATGCTTCTGCATACCTGATTTAATAATCGAGTTGGAGTGTAATTCTGAAATATCGTCACAAAGGTTGTCACCAAAATTATTTGATGTATGGAAAATACAATTAAATGAGGCTAAACAAAAAGCGCGTATTAAATTTGATAACGAAAAGCGCCAGTGGAAAAACTTTATAACCAAGCATGTGGTTGTAAAACTTATTATTGATACAATTATAGACACCATAGGTATAGAAGCAATCGATCAGGCAAAAAATCTTTCCATTCAGAGTACGATTATTGAAGCACATCCTTCGGGAATGTCGAATGTTGATACAAATTTATTTCAGACCTACAATAACTTGATAACAGAATATCCAGAACCTGTAGACCAAAGTACATGGGAAAAACCGAGTGAGGTTCGGGAAAAAATTGCTTACAGAATTGAAAGTACCTATGAGATAGAAGATGAAAATATACAAACTTTGAAGGAAACATTAATGGAACAAAATATTAAATTAACCACTATAAATGGAACAAAGTCGTTTATTAAAGTTGGAAGAATTTTACTATCAAAAGTTGCTAATCTACGAAATAAACGTGAAATGTGTTTCGAGCAATCGTTTATGATTGACCTTGATGTAGCCGAAATGTTGTTATTGGAAGGATTTTTTTTCTTAAGCAAATTTTATCGCATGTGTCCCGTCTTTATATACGATAATCCGGACGCAATATTCAATCCGTACAGTGTCAGTAAAAGTAAAAATAAAATTGTTCCAGTTATTCATCGATCACACATTTATTTCTGCAATGATGTTAACGTGAAGAAATTTAGGGAAAACCCTTTGAAATATATTGTGAATGATAACATAAAACATTTTGTTGAATATCCATTAAGAGTTGCAGTTATAGGTCCACCAAAATCAGGAAAAAGTGAATTAACGGCAAAGATTGCAAAGAAATATGGTTTGTTGTGCGTATCTAAAGGAATCGCTCTTAGACATATTGTGAACGACCTGTCATGGACGGAATTAGCATTGAAAACGTTATCGAAACTAGATAAAGGGGAAAGTGTGAGCAATTACGTTGTTATGCAGGCCGTTCAAACTCTTATCAATAATCACTGCAGTTCTTCGCGTGGATATATTTTGGATGGGTTGCCAAGTACACCTTTCGAAGCTCTCGAACTACAAAAATTAGGCCTATTCCCATTAATTATTTTTGAGCTTCGTGGTAATTCACGTATAATGATTAAAAATTCACAGAAAGAAATTTATTTGAACATAATCAAAACAAAACCTCCATATTCATGTAATCTTATTAGACATAGATTGGCGAAATATAATAAAAAATGTAATACAATATCGGAATTTATAAACAACGACACACAAAATTTGTTAACTCTTAATGCAGAGGAATCACGATGGGAATGTTTCTATAAAGCAGACAATAAGATATGTGAAATAATACCACAAATTCATTTTTATTTAACAAATTACAAAACGACTGCTGTACCGATGTCTGTGATGTGTATCTCAGATAATGATTTCCAACTTAAAATGTCTAATTATAAGAACCTCTGTCCAGTTTGTCTTTCTGACGATATAATAAAACACAGCGGTTATCCAGTTGATAAAAAGGGTATTGTACAATACAAAGAACACGTTTACTGGATATGTAATGAACACCTAGATTTGGTATTGAAGAATCCAGATACATTGTTGAAGGAAAAAGTAGGCATACCCGAAATACCTACAGTTGTTAAAACTATCAATCCTTTTAATCTTTATGAGGATGGCATATGTATAGTTACGTATGCTGAAAATTTACCAGCACAGATAATCGAAAAAGGTAAAGAGGAGTATGCTGCGGTATATAAGGAAATAACATATTTATTTTGCTGCCCATACTGTCTGCGTAAATTTCTAGCAACACCAAAAATGTATTATGACATAACGGTGTTCAAGGAATGTAAAGTTTTTCCAACTATTTCCTTAAAGAGCCTTCCCCATTTAGGGTACCTTGAGCAAACGGTCGGGAATCTTATTACTGAGGCTTGTTGTTCAGTTAATGTTGCGAGACCCAAGTATCCAGGATTATCCGCCCAAATTTCTGGTCTCTTATACGTAGCTTTCTACCTCAAGATTCATAATCCTCTTACTGATGTTTCTTATTTACCATTGTATAAAAAATCCCTTAAAACTTTTGAAAGTAGATGTCAACTCATGACCAGCGTAGGGCTACGTTTGAGGTCTATTGACAATCCCTTTGCTCATTATCCAAAGTGTTGTAATTTGAAGGATATACAAGATGTTACGGAACCCAAACCCATTGCAACAGATTCGGGTACTGTTATGAAACCTTCTAGTATTAAACAGGAATCAGTTACATCTTTTACTTGTTTATGTGATTCTGATTAAATATTTATTATAATGATTGTATTTGCCTTAGATTTTTCTAATAAATTTAATATACTATTAGTGTCTTTTATTTTGTTATATTATAATTAATATTATCGTAACAATTTGCTTGAGAGCGATTAGACAGTCTTAATTATTTTTTACTCGGATTGTTCGGATTATTAACCAATATACAGGGTTTTAATGACGTCACTGATTGCATTCGCTCAGAAGCGATTCCATAACGAAGTTCAAAAATGTATAGAAATGACAGTAACGTTCGTTAAGTCATGTGTGTCTGACACTTTATGTCAGTTCCATACATTTTTGAACTATGTTATGTAGAGTCGCTTCGGAAGGAATGGCTTAGGCTTAGACAAGGACAAAGAAGTGACTATGATTTCAATCATTGTCATGGAAGTTGATGTTCCTTGTCATGTATTTTAACTAAATATTTTAACTGATGTCTAACCTAGCATTTTGTTTCAGCACGTAGGGTACCCGTACCCGATGAGAGGTTCGACTATTTGTGTGAATATCACAAACCAGCCAGGTAAAATAAATTCTTAAAAGATATCGTTTTTTTTAGTCTATATGATAACAAAAATATATTTTTTAAATTATTACAGCAAGGTTCCAGCGTTCCTGAACGTGGTGGACATCGCAGGGCTTGTGCGCGGCGCGGCGGAAGGACAGGGTCTCGGCAACGCCTTTTTGTCCCATATCAAAGCTTGTGATGCTATTTTTAATCTTTGCCGTGAGTTTTTATTCCATATCATATTCATGTTGATAAGTAAATTTCTTTTGTGATGTTAGTCAGTACTTTTTTCTTAATAAATCTCGTAACTATAACAATTTTGAATTCGGCTGTATGTGTGCAATTAATGTTATTAGGTGCGTTTGATGACGAGGATGTGATCCATGTGGACGGTGAGGTGAATCCAGTGCGGGACTTGGAGACTATCGGCGAGGAGTTGCGGCTGAAGGATGAGGAGCAGCTGATGCAGAACATCGAGAAGTTAGAGCGTGTCGTCAACCGCGGCGGAGACAAGAAACTGAAGCCTGAATATGTAGTGTATTATTCTCTAATCTAGACGGAAATAATTTAATCAAGTGATAGCAACGCCATCTATCGGATTTAAAATCTAAATATGACTGATTTTATTATTTGTTTCAGGACGCGCTTATGAAGATCAAAGCAATTTTAGTCGACGAGAAGAAACACATTCGTTTCGGTGACTGGAGTGCTGCCGATGTCAGTACATAATACTTGCTATAAAGACTTTCTTTTAATTCCATCTAAAATGTATGTGAATTTTGCCTTTTCTTTGTTTTTTTAGATAGAGGTACTTAACCGATATTTGTTCCTGACATCCAAGCCAGCTCTTTACCTCGTCAATCTTTCCGAAAAGGACTACATCCGCAAAAAGAATAAATGGTTTGTATCGTTATTTTGATGTATTGAGCACTTTCCTATAGATATGTATAGTTATAAAATGTCTTGTGTCACAGGTTACCAAAGCTGAAGGAATGGATAGACAAGAACGACCCCGGAGCGCCTCTGATCCCCTTCTCCGGCGCGCTGGAGACCAAGCTGATGGACATGGAGCCGCAAGACAGGCAGGCCTTCTTGAAGGAACAGAATATTACCAGGTCGCTTTAATAAACATTTTAAATCTATATCTATATAATATTAATAAAATTGGAGTGTCTGTATGAAGTAGTTAGTTATAGATAATGAAAAACAATTTGAAAAATCATGTGTTTGTTTGTATGTCGGTAATACCACGTTTGTTTCGGGTAATCTACGAAACGGGTGGACAGTTTTTGCCGGAATGTTGACGCACGCGAACGTATTTTAGGCTACCTAATTTTTATGTTATCCACCTTATGATTAAATAAAATTTCAGTGCACTAGATAAGATCATAGTGCAGGGCTACAAGGCGCTGCAGTTGGAGTACTTCTTCACGGCCGGAGCTGACGAGGTCAAAGCATGGACGATACAGGTCTCACATACTTACATAAATAACTTTCTTATTGCTGGCATTTTATTTATTTTTATTGTCTAGGGCTGTAATTAAAATTGCTAAACAATTTATACATTTGTATATTTGCAGAAAGGTACGAAAGCACCGCAAGCCGCCGGCAGGATCCATACGGACTTCGAGAAGGGCTTCATAATGGCTGAGGTGATGCACTTCAAGGACTTCAAGGAGGAGGGCACCGAGGCAGCCTGCAAGGCCGCCGGCAAATACAGACAACAAGGCAAGTCTAGCAAATAATTTAGAAACAAGAAGACTGAAGTAGACTAAGAAGTGAAAAGAAAAGGAAAAAATATCCATTCAGTACACAATAACGAAAAAAACAATGATATTATAAATATACAAAAAAAAAGAAAACAAATTTAAAATAGGAAAACTGAAGACATTATAAAGAAGTATGTATTCAATAATATCTTCTGTGAGGTTCTACGTTCGATTCATCTAGCAATGGACGCCTGTCTGTTAAGTTAAATGCATAATTGGGATCATTTGTTCGTTTATTATTTCAGGTCGTAACTACGTAGTTGAGGACGGTGATATAATATTCTTCAAGTTCAACGCGGGCGCAGGACTTAAGGATGCGAAAAAGAAATGACGCGGCAAAGTGCTGCTGTTGTTGTTGCACGCGCTGTACCTCAACCTTGCGCTATACAGCATCGCGCACGTCTAACTGCAGCACCATCATCGGCTGACTGCAGCCTGCACTATGACTGCAGCCTGCACCATGACTGCAGCCTGCACTATAATATGACTGCAGCCTGCACCATAATATGACTGCAGCCTGCACCATGACTGCAGCCTGCACCATAATATGACTGCAGCCTGCATCACAATATGACTGCAGCCTGCACCACAATATGACTGCAGCCTGTACCATAGTATGAGTGCAGTTTATATCACAGTCACAATCACCAGTGTACAGCTTGTTACATCAACAGTGACTATCACTATGAATAAAATGTCATAATACGGCTTTGTTAATGTTTATCTTATTTATGTATAATAAACACTTTTTTGTAAATTATAGCTTTGATTTTTATTTATCATATGATTTTCGGTCACAAAATTTAAAAAAGGTTACATTTTAAATAATTAAACTTGAACTTGTTTTTAATAACAGCAATAGTAACACGTTATCATTTTAATTATATTATTTCAACCAATTCTTCTGTTCGCATTATATTTCCCTGTGTATCTTCGTTTATTTCATCGAATACTTTTTCCAGGATTATTTTTAATTTTCTTAGAAATCTCTTCAAGTTGATGTGAGACAGAGTTTCTTCTTCAGAAACCGGCGCTAACTTTTCTCTATCTTTTTCTGTATTTTTTAATAATTTGTTTGATACAAAAGAAGAGACTTTAGTCACCGCTTCTTCCCATTCCTGCAATAAATTTATATTATAGTCAAATTGGACAATATGACATGTTCGTTTGACTTTATTATAAAAAAATTATCTCACTTGGCAATCGTCATGCAATAAATCCAGAGACAGCATTTCTTCAATAAGGACCACTTTTAAAGTATCGGTTGAAGAATTTCTTAATATGCAAATGATAAGACGTCCAATAGCAACAAGAGTGTTGCCCGCTCTAAAAAATTAAATAATTAGTATTGCCATGTAAATATAAACTACATTGTAAGATTTAAAAAATCCTACTCTATTTAATAAATTACGTTTAAGTGCTTAATTTATGATGAAAGTTAGTTAACACAATTTACCTGCACACCACATTCCTGTTCTGAATAATTTCGTAGACAATAATTATTATACGCTGATGTGTGTCTTTCATTAGAAACTCGAGAGGGTCGCAGTCGGCGGGTGGCAAGGAACCGTATTGCACGAGCAACCTCTTTTGAACTGCAGTGAACTGTCGTTGTAAAATATTCAGCTCGTCCTGGCAATAAAATTCTAGTTCAAAAGAACGAAATTTTGACAAAGAAATAAAATTAATTTAACAATCAATGTATAAATGTGGAATATTCTCGAAAAATACTTTAACTTTACTTTTAAATTTAAATATTGCAATAAGTTGTCTATGTTTTTTTTATAGAGAAAAAGGAGATTACAATATGTTTGATACAAGATAATTTTTGACAAAAGTTTTCTACCCTACTGGCAAAAGTTACTCACCAGTATTTTTTTCAACTTTATCCTTTCTTTAGCGTGAGTTTCAATGCTTTTTAAAAACCTATGTATCATTTGCGTGATAAATTCTTTACTAGGTTTTACTGTTATACGCACTCCGATGTTTGTTCGAATATAATATTCATTTATTCTGTTTAAAAAATGATCCAACATAGATGATATTTCGGGAAAATCATCCGATTCTATTGAGTATTCTTGTTCATGCGCACAAACGGTGACAGTTTTATCTGTCGTTTTATATTTGAATGTAATAGAGTTAACGGTTTCTTCGAAATTACTTAAATCTTCTTTTGTAAAATCTGTATAGATGTTATATTAATATATGTTATAATGTTATATAATAATGAATGTTATTTTTAATCTACTTCAAAGAGGAATTGGTGCTTAACAAAGATAAAAATATTTTCACGGATTAAGAAAGAGATTTTTAATTAGTCTGTTTTTCTTTATGTGATAAGTTACAAAACTAGAAATAGGTAAGGTTATTTTAGTACCATTGTTATACACTTTTTGTTAAATTTAATGGATTATAAATAAGTTTAAAGTAATATAAATTATAATATATTATATAGAATATACTTACCTGTAAATATATTCTTCAAATCCAAACATGTCTCATTTACGTGAACATTTAATTTAATTTGATTCTCTAAATTCTTTTCTCCTATAGAACAATAAAGTTTCAGAGGTAACATAATACTTCTGTTAAGTATTACTATTCTTCCTGTATGTTCAATTATAGTGAATAATATTTTTATGTTGGTATTTGAAATGTCATAATCGTTTGACATTAAAATGTCAGTTTTTATTATCTGTGTAACATCAACGTCATCAATATATTTACTATTGTCAGAATTTACAAATGGAGAGCTACAAATATATGTAATCTGTATATTCTGAATTAATTTAGGCTCTTTACAAATTATGGTAATAATTAAAGGGCATTTCATAAATTGTACATTTTTATCGCTCTCAAGTATGTTATATTCGTAATGATTTTCGATTGGTCCTATTTCCATTTTTATGCTTATGGTCTTTTCTAAATAAGGTACATCTGCAACGCTTTCTGAAAATAACAGTAAACGAATTCGTTTAAAATATGTATTGAAAATGTGTAGTCTATTGCTGGCATACGTGCACAAGAAAAACTGTATTTACCTCACTACGTTACCATGGTTACCGTGGGTTTCTGAGGTCTAAATCTCCATTTAAAATTTTTCTTTGACTTGTTTAAGGTAGACAGGTAAGGTAAACAGGGATGGCGATATGTTTTATAAAGGGATTTAGGTTTCAAAAACCCACGGTTAAACATTATTGTAAAAAAGAAACAAATACATTTGATTTACCTTTATCATCAGAGATAATTAATTTGAGCGCTTCGTCCACGGAATCCAGTTCTCTTTGTACTTCTACTGGACTTACAATTTCATTAACAATGTTAACATTAGGATTTAAATCCGGCTCTGTACCTAAATAATTAACAGATATGATTCCATCGAGAGATAGAGTGACCACGCCACCTGGTAGAGAGTTGATAAAACATCTGGATAATGACACAGCTTTCATCATAAGATCACAGGCCCATAACAATTTAGTTCCCTCGTAAACGTAGAGCTTGGAATCGTCTGATGCTACCATTATTAGTAGACGTGCCCCAGGTTCTGAAAAATCAAATATAATAAATTTTAACAACGATATTTAACACATTATTAGCACACCTTAAATATATTAAATAACACCTTGTCAGCTGAAAAACATAAATTAAAAAAAAAAGGTTAACGATTACTTGATTTAAAAACGTCATAAGGCAGCCAACTTTTTCCATGAATTCTGAGACCAAAATCTCTATGTAAAACATATCGTCATTCCCGTTTTGACAAAACAGAGATAACATGTTTTAAACGGGGATTTTGGTCTCGGAAACCCACTGTTAATAGTATACAAAAATAATGTGTGCTTACCGTAGTACCAACCAATTAAATAAGAGTGAAAACATATCGGCGTATAATCAAATCTTATAAGAGCTTTCATCAAGCCGTTATCCTGGAAACAGTAGAGATGTCTTTCGCTCAGTGCAATGATGCTTGAAAAATTACTACTCGTCTGGAATATAATTATGATTATAAACAACTAACTTACTAATAACAATGTCACAAAGACCCAAAATGAGCCCTGGCCATCGACAATACGATAAAAAAATATAATGAGAAAAAGATTTGACTATTTGTTTGCATTGAATAGGCTCCTAAAGTTCTGAACCAATTTGAAATTATTCCACAGTTGGCAAGCTACACACCGTGGGCTATAAAAAAATATAAATTCTTACCCGAATCACTTGAACAGCGGATATTTCTTCGCCGGCATTGTACGTCCATTGAGGAATATTTGTTTTGTTTTGTCGCAAACTCAACTCACTAGATTCACGTAGTTGCTGATAACTGAATATGTTATAAAATCTCATTAATTTATGTTACTGTTAGAATATAATAAAAAAAATATAACATTTCTTATTGCTAGTTTTATCTTTTTTCGTGGATAAAACTGGTCAAAAATCTACTTATAGTTTACGAAAAAAAAGGTTAATAAAAGAAGTTACACAGAAAACCCATGAAATTGACAGTTTACGATAGTGCCTGGATTTAATTGCAACATTTACCTATAGATCTCCAATGTCCAAGTTGATTTACAAATCACGAACATATCGACAGTCATGACGTAAGCTACTGGCCCTGGTATTAAAATATCATTGAAAATACACATAAATAAGAAAGTATCTTGGTCGAAGAAACTCAAAGTACCATCTAGAGACTGGACACAAATGAGATCTCTAGATTTAGAACTACCGAAAGGTCCCACAGTCATGTTATATGCTCGCCTTTTAAACGCATGTTTTATTACGGCTGTTACACGGTTCTGTTCACCTGGAAATAATTTTGTCTATTAAGTATGTCTCAAGAAATGTTTTATTTACGCGTTTTCACTGCTTCAACATTTTTATATTGTCCCTTTCATTCTCTATCAAAAATAGAGATAAAAATATGCTTTTATACAGATGAGTAGGCAGTATAAATCAATACCTGCGTCTGTTAAACCTTCTTTTCTATGAAGTTCGTATATTACATAGCTTTGGGGATGTAGTACTATGATTTCTCGATCTCCAGACATTCTGAAACACAAGGAAAAGTATAATTTAAAAAACATATGGTAAACGGTAATTTTATAAATCTTACTACTATTATAAATGCGAAAGTTTAGATGGATGGATGGTTAGAAGGTACCTCCAAAACAGTAGAATAAGTCGTTGCTATTTTTCATAGATGTCGAATACAGTCTGGAAGAACACAAAGGCTACTAATTAAGTTTTTTTTTAATTCCGCGCGGAGAGACTCACGGGCAACAGCTAGTGATAATATAAAGCAGTACTTACCCAATAAATTTTCCAGTTTCAATTTGTAGAATAATATCCGATAATTCAGTCTCTAGAAGTAAACCATCTTGATCTAAACTCGGTTTGAACAATTTTAACAAAGTGCCTTCGCCTAAGAGAACACAATCGCTGTCATTATGCGAAATAAATTTATCAATTTTCATACAACTGAAGGTTTGTTCGTCTTTATTCTCCGTATTTGTCGCGTTAGACCACCACTGTTTAACTTTGAACAAAGACATCTTGGCAATAGTAATAAATATTCTGACTAATTAACTGCATTATGACCAGATTCTTTACGTTTAAAAGCCATGGCAACGAGTTGTAAACAAAGTTACGTTGCGTTTAGTAAAACATAACAGCGATTCGACAACTTCTAGTTTTTATTTATCCTTCCTACTATAATATTCTAATTTTGTAATTAAAAATATGATTTTTTCCTGTCACATAACACAGAATTTTAATTTCCGTTTTTTTTTAAATTAAGTATTGCTATCATAGTCATTAAAACCATTACTTCCTGAACCATTGTCAATAAAAAAAAAACATATAATTTTAATACAGCCTTTAATAAAAATATAACAATATTTAAAGCGTATGAAATATTATCAAGATGATTTAATTCCTGCAGCTTTTTCGTGCAGATCCCAGCAGTGGTCCCAGAACTGCGTCAACCGTTGCTCGTGGTTCGCACAGAAGTGTTTGAAGTCTCGCAACATTCGCATCTGAAATGTCTCATCACCTGTCGCCGGCTGCAGCCACTTCCATTTCTTAGATATCATGTGGTTCCACGACCATAGGAAACCCATCTGAAACTGTTGTATCAATTATGCGTTTATACTAACAACTTTTCACTTTCACTATGTCTCTGTTAAAACAATTTCGCCTCTAATCTTACTAATATAAAAGCGAATGTTCGGATGGATGTTTGTTGGAAGGGTATCTCAGAACGCATAGGATACTAAGTTTTTTTTTTTAAATTGCGCGCAGACGGAGTCGCGGACGAATGCTAATCGTCCTATAAAGAGATATAAAAACAGTACTCACCCGCCTGCTGTTGTCGAATTCATCCTTATTTTTATCGTTAACGTGCCACGAGATGTAGCCTTTGTGCGGACTGGCCGCCACGTCTGTGTGCACCGGGTACCTATACGAACATTTATTACAATAAAAACTTACAATTAACTTAATTTACAATGTATTTTTTTAATGTTTGTTAAATAAACTTTAAAGCACTTAACCAAGCAACTTAGCCCATCCCACTTTTTCTATGGTATTCTCTCTTTCTCTGGTACTTTTTATATATTAGAAGATGGCAAACAAGCAATTGGCAACTTGGATTCGCCGAAATAGCAAAGCGAACACGCCCATAGACATGTGCGTACTCTCTCTCTCTTTGTGGCGCACACTTGCTATCTCTCTCTATCTGGCACACTAATACTTTGTTTTTCTCTCTCTCTCTCTTGTACACTCTGGCTCTCTCTCTCTTAGGCACACTTTTACTGTCTCTCTCTCTCTCACAGCTACACTAATTGTGTGTCTCCCTGTTACCTGTTGGCATTGAGCAGCCTGTTGGGCGGCTTGTGGTGCGCGCGGCGCTCTGCAGCAGCAGCGGTAGGTATGAGCACGAACATGTTGCCGGTGACGTGCACATACAGCTGGTCGCCTACACCCTTGTGCATTGTGCTCTCCACGCACTTCGTGAACCCAAACCTGCACGCGATCGCCTCCTGGAAGAGAAACAGGCGCTCCTCCCACGTCTCCTCCGGGAAACCTGCGGAAATGTCACTTACAAATTCAAATATCGTTCAATTAATGACGTCACAATAGAAATGTATGAAATAAAGATTTTTTGCTCTTTCAAATCAAATGAGTTACAGCAGACAATTTAACATAACGATATTCATACCTTCAAATAGAGCGCTCTTCCCTCTTAACAATGGCTCTTCGTTCAGCGGCACATAAATCGGTCCACGCAGAGGATCCGATTTCAATGTAAACGGCAGCGCCAACGGATCAGCAGGAATAGGCACCATTTGCAAACGACAGTTCTGTGCTTTGCGTGCCCATCCTAATATCTATAAAAAATTTAACAAAACTCAACGATAGCATACACGAAACACATGAATAAAGTTCTTTGAAGCAGAGTAAAAAGCAGTATACGACTTACTAGCTCAGCGACGATATTTCCACTGGCGACGGCCCACTGTATGCACATCTCGTAGGCCTGGTCTGGTCTGAAGGTGGCCTGGTAGCGCGCGTGACCCCATTCAATGCGGTCACTCTTGTTGCTCACATCGATGTCCAGGTGCGTGTTCTTGTACAGAGGCACTGGATAACACCAACAATGAACTTTTTAGAACTAATGAACAAGAAGACTTAATACTACTAAAGAAACAGCTCATTAGAACCTTTGTCATTGTCTTAAAAGTGCTACAAAAACCTCATAACAGGTCAGATATGTTTGCTGCTCTATATGTGACTTACGATGAAGAAAAAGATTGTGATGCAACACATATCTGTGAAGAAATTAGAAGATATGTGTGAAGTCTCCTCGCACTGGACCAGTGCTTGGAGGCTTGGATGGTTTAGTTACCTCTAACTACGGTAGGCGTTGAGCACCTCTGTGGGGATGTGTATAAGTTGACGTATGTAACTTTAAGACTAAAACATTAACAATCTCACAGTCAGTATCGGCAGCACGGCTCATGTATTTGGGGTCGATGTTGGGTGCGAGGAAGGCGGGGAGACCGGTGACGTCACGAGCGCCTTGCCCCGCCCCTGCGATGTCGCGCGCCCCCCC